AACAAAGATGATAATACCCATCTTATTAAACTACAGAGAATATGAAAGATAATATATACATAGTGCATGGCACACAGATGGAACTCAACTGATGGTAGTTTTAATATTTATAATATTTTATTTTCTTCTACTTCAATATGGTTTTATGAAACATTTCATGCACACTGCACATGCAACATCTTTCACATAACTTTATATCTAGGTTGTTAATAAAAAGCTGATGTTCTTTCCAATATTTATAGAGATTGACCCATTCTAAAATTTTAGCAAAATCCCCATCAGGGTTCATTTACAGTTGTCTCTCTCTTTTTAACTTCTTTTCCTTTCCATATTAAAGGTTTGTATTATTTAAGATGTACTATGTGATATTTGCATATACATACACAGTGCAGCCAGCTAATTAACATATATATTCCCTAAGTGGTTACCTGTGTGTGTGTGTGCACACATGTATGTGTTGAGAACTACCTCAAAAAATTCAAGCGTTATTATTATCTGTAGTCACTATGCTGTACATTAAGTCTCTAGAACTTATTTATTTCATAACTAAAAAGTTGAACTTTTTGATCATTTATCTCCCTTTCTGCCTCCCCTTAGCCCCTGGTAACCATCATTCTATTGTTTCTATGAACTCCATCTTTTTAAGATTGCACATATAAGTTTGATAATTCCTTACTTATTTCACTAAACATAGATATGTCCTCCAGTAGAAAATACAGTAGTGGGGCTGGAGTTGTGGCTCAGTGGTAGATTGCCTTCCTGGCATGTGTAAAGCACTGGGTTCAATTCTCAGCACCACATATAAATGAACAAATAAAAAAATTTAAAGAAAAAAAGAAAAATATGTAGTGCTATTGTTGAGAGTAATGCATACTCCCAACAGTAAGCATATAGTTTCAAATGACAGGAATTCCTGTTTTTAAGACTGAATAATATTCCATTGTGTATATACATGCACTACATTTTCTTTCTCTATTCATCCATCACTGAGGTTGCTCCATATCTTCATTATTGTGAATCTGGCAGTCACCTTCACAGCCATTTTTGCCCTTCCTCCCCTAACAGGGGCTTTATTACACTCTAAACATGTCTTAGGAAAATGATTCAGAAGCGATCACTTTTCTTCTTATGTTCTCTTCAGTAAACTCGAGGATGGAAAGTTTTGGTTTCTGCCCTTCTCTAACCAGTAAAATCAATTTTCAGTAGAACTTCTCCTGTTCATTTGATAGCTCCAATTTTCTGACAAGCTGAAGAGAAAGAGTTTAGATTCCAATACTATTGTCATTGTTGCTGCTGGAGTTGATATTGTTGTGATTTTCTTCTTGTTAGCTTTGCATCATACATAAGTGTACAGAAGCAATAAATTTAACTTGAGTTCTGAACTTTGAAAGTGCTTATTTTGTTCTTTTAGGTTGTTTGTTTGCCTTACAACTGCTTTCTTAATTAACAGTTATCTTTCAGGAGCAAACCTTTTAATCACATGGAATTGACATAAGAAGTTCCAGCCAGATTTAGTCTATTTTTATTTCTAAATCAAAGCATACAAGGAGCTGGGTATGATGGTGCACACCTGTAATCCCAGCAGCTCAGGAGGCCAAAGCAGGAGATCTTACAGTGAAAGCCAGCCTCAGCAAATTAGTGAGACCTTGTTTCAAAATTAAAAATTAAAAAAGGCCTGGGGATGTGACTCAGTGGTTAAGCACCTCTGGATTTTGAATTCCTGATTCAAAAATAAAATAAAATACCGTACAGAATCTGATTTAAACAAATGGGAATAAACATTACAGTTGGAATTTATCACAGTGTTGTTTTCCAATCAGGTTTGTTTCAAAACTGACCCTGATGTCCAGATTTTAAGCTATGAAATAAGACAAAAATCAAGGGCTAAATAGTGACGTAGATATTTTAAAATCAGCATTTTCCTTAGCAACTTTTGCTGTATCATGCTATTCAGTACTAAACTCAAGAGAAGTTCCAGGCATAGCCCGTTGAAATCTAAGAGATTCACCCACTCAAAGTTGTAAACTTTCTTAGGTTCACGCTGCATTCAGGGTGGGCTCTCAAGAGAATGAGTTTGCCTTTCGCACCAGGAGACTTTAGTCTTTAGAAGGAACCCTATCAGAAACCCTTGCCTCAGTCTTGGACACTTCCATCAGGGAACCAATTGTGCCTGGGAGAAATCTAGCTGAACAGTTTGCGCTCCCAACTTCCCCAATTTCGGAACCCAGAGGAATGAAGCTGTATCTGGATTCAGATTTTTTTTTTTTTTTTGTAAATTACCTTTAGAGACTGGTGAATTTGCCAGAATGAATTAATTTTTATTCATTTAACATTGGTGGAGTGTCTACTGGTGTCCCTGGCACGTTGCTAATTGCAGAGGAAAATAACTTTTGCTGTTGTTGTTTGTTTTAAACCTTTGGCCACCAGCACAGTGCTGGGCTCTGTGATTGACGGATAATGTCGGCCCCTCCTTTTGCTGAAGGCTACTCCAGCGCCCTCTGGAATCACCAGCCTGTGATTTGTACCTGTCAAAGATTTCATAGTGAGGAATTAGTGTCTGTTCTGAACGCTGAAGTTACATACTGCAGCCAGAGACAGCGTTGCAAACCCGCAAAGTGACAGGATCAGGAAATCCGCTTCCAGAGTATTCATTTCTTAACAGTTTTGCGGTCACCCTTGGAAAATGCACGTCAAGGACACACATCCTTACAAACGATTTCAGGAAGTTCATATCTTAGAAATATCTGGAATTTTAAAAAGGAAGTCATTTCCGCAGAAGTTTTTGGCACCTGAGCGCAAGTGCGTTTCCACAACAGCCGGGAGTGGCAGTGGCCCAAGAGCTGCGCGCCATGTAGTGGCACCTCGGCCTTCGCCAATTAGTCACTAAGCTGGACCAGGAAACCCAGGCCAGAGCTCGGAACTAAACTGCTGAAAAGCCCGAAGCCAAGAACTGGGTCTCGGGAGTGTGAGACCCAGTTCTGCCTCCAGGTTTCTGCGCTCTCCATGCCTAGTGACCCGCCACCCTAAGCCCTGCCTAGCGTGCTGTCCGTGTTTCCTGGCGCTGTGCCGGACTCGCGCTGGCGTCCTGCCGGACCAGTTCTTCCTTTCCCAGGTCTCGCCGCCGCCCAACGGAAGAGCCCTGCGGAAAGAGAATCTCAGACACCGGGTCCCAGCACCGAGTTTTTATTCTCTCACAATAGTGCTGTCCCCAAAGTTAAGGAAGAGCATCTTGGAAGTTAGGCGTTACAGATGTCTTCTTGAGTAGGGAAGCCACAAATATGCGAAGGGAAAGAAAATGTGGCGCGACACAAGTGTGCCCTAGGAAATGCAGAAGCTTCTGGGGACTAAGAACAGGTGTGCGATGGTCATCTAACTCGAGTTAGATGCCTGGGGCATTCGAGCACCCTTGGGGGCTAATTTCTGCCCCTGGGTTCTTGCATTCCCGGTCTTCCCACCCTCCCGCGCCTAGTCTCCAGATGCTGTATCACAGCATTGGCAGCGTCTTCACGGGCTGCTGCGTATTTCTCGCTGAGCGCCCAGACCTTGAAATCCCCGGGAAGCCGAGAAACTGCTTTCTCCCCACCCTAGCTGTTGAGACCCTCAAACGCCTTAGTCCTGACTTTGGCGCTCCTGGAGCTCAACGCTTAGGCTGAGTAGTCTCCAACCCCGTGGGCTGCGCGTAAGTGGAATGGAAGTCAATCGTAATTGCGTGCGATGGTGCGCTCCAGTTCTTGGGAGTGTTTGCGGATATAGTAAAAGCAGACCACCATCCTACCGGTGTGTAAATGCGACTGCATCTGAGACTTAGGCAGACTTACGACACATTTGAGAGTGAACCCCTAAGGGTGCCTCTGAAACCCGGTATCTATTTTGAGTAGTGTTACTTTCCAGAGTGTGCGCGTATTTGGAGATTGTTAGAAATGTGTGTGTGTGTGTGTGTGTGTGTGTGAGAGAGAGAGAGAGAGAGAGAGCACTCAAGCCCCTCTGCTCTTTAGGCAAGGACTTTATTGCGGGTGGAGTGGGGTGCGGGCCGGAATCAAATGCCACTGGGACATCTCAGCAAACAGCAGCCTCCGGAAGCAAAGGGGCAGCTGTGCAAATGGCTCAGACAGGCGGACTAATGAGAAGTGATGGATGGCAGGGTAGGAAGAGGGAAGGCTGGAGGTCTGGATGGAGGCTTTGGGAGCATCTGTCCCTTGCACCTCTCCCCTCAGACCCAGTTGAGTATGGGAGTCCTCACGTGATGAATCTGAACAGCACCCTGGGACAGACCAAAGTGAGTCAAGGCAGTCCCACAAGGTAAGGATTCGGAAACTATCGATAGAGACCTTTCCAAATCCCCTAGGTAGACTAGGAAGCTTCTGGATCTCTGACAAGTGGAGGTTGGGCAGTGGGCTACTTCTCACAAAATTTCTTCAAGATGGGACTATGGTTCCCATTTCAAAGATGAGTACATTGAGGCTCTGAAAAGTACTTGCCCATGATCAGAGTCTGGAATGGTGCATCTGGAATTGAGCTCAGATCCCAAAAAGTTCACTTTCCCACTATCTCCGCTTCTCATGAGTTTTTTTCTCTCTGTGAGTGATACCACCTGCAGAGTTGGGTTCTTCACGGGCAGAGAATCCATCCTGACACCCATCCGTTAATCCTCCAAGCCCTGCTAGGGCATGGGTCTAGGGTCAGAATTATGTAAGCCAGGAGTCTCTGCAGTCCTGCACCCTTCCTTCTAAAATCTCACACCTGAGGTTGGAGTGGGCGGAAGTTCAAAGCCAGGAGGAAATTAAGAAGTGAAATCTATCATGACGTCAAACTGCCCTCAAATTCCCGCTCACTCTCGTTCGTTTCCACCATCCCCCTACTTCTATCAGTGACCTCAATGCAAATAAAAGTAGGGCCGTCATACTGGATGCTCCAGGTTGGAAGCATGGGGGTGACGCAATTGGCTGGGACATTGGACCCCTCCGCCCATTGGCCGCCTGGCGCTCAGGGACCCCTCCCGACCCACTGCGATGGGAATAAGAGCAGCCGCTGGCGCTGGGAGCTACTGGAGCCACTGCCCAGCCCAAGTGTGGCTGCAACTTCCGCGGGGCTCTAGCTGGACGACACCGCAGCCCTCTCTGCTCCAAGTCACTGCCTTCCAGGTGAGCCGCGAGATTCCTGCTCAGGTGGTTATCCTCCCTTTCCCTCCCCTCTCTTCTTCCTCCCCTCTGACGGCATTAGTCTGTCTAGTAGTTTTTCTCCCTGCCAATCTCAGATCTCTGTCCACTTCTGTCTGGGTCTCTTGGTTAACAGTCTGTTAGTCCGCGATTTATCCCAGGTTCTGGCCCAGTAGGACTGGAGAGTGTCAGTCCGGGAGCTCCTTGTCCCTCTCTCCCTGAGTGATTGCCGGCTCCGGTTTCACATTGTCCCACTGCACGTATGATATGCTAAATCTCGGGACACTTGGGCTCACCAGGCACCGCGCAAGCAGCAGGATGCAGCAGTAGCTTTCGGTAGATGGTGCGTTCGGTGATCACTTCTGATGCCTAGCGTTCTTGGGAAACTGGTTCAGAGCCTGGGCCAGAGCGAATCCGAATCCGGGGCAAATGGGCTCAACTACGGAATGGCAGCAGCCCTAAACTGCAAGCCCCAGTGGCAGGTTCTAGGAGTGCCAAGAGATGTCTTGGGTCCCAACTTTAAGACTCTGTTAAGCTTGGTTCTTGCAGGCAACAGAGTTGCCAGAGGGAGGAGCAGCTGAGCTCTAGAAATGATTCAATGTCTCAGATTGCAACTGCAGGAATATTACCTTTCTACTTTTCTCTCCCTCCCTATCTCCTGGTATGTACAAAAGCCCTATACCCCAAGACAGTTCTGGGTATTGTTATGGGAACAGCTGTGTGGCAGGGCCCCTCCTAGAGTACACGCCAGACTTAGCCAACAGGTGTATGTGCCTGTGAGCAGCATTTGGGAAAGGTGGATAGGTCTGAGACCTCCCCACCCGTATGTCCTGCAAATCTTAGCTAAGATTGCTTCTCCAGCTTGCCAAACCCTGCCACATGCCCACTAGACCTCCTAGCAGTTGACTTGATTGATGAGTAAACAAAGATGAAGTGAAATATAGTGACCAGTCTGAAGCAATGCAACCAAGGAGTTGAGAAGAAGACAGGAACCAGGTCTTCTGCTTAGAAGAAGACAGAAACCAGGTCTGTGGGTTCACAGAACTTTGAATTGGTGGAACTGGTGCAGGAGATGACGTCATTTTTTTCCTTGCAAGGAGTCGTCATGGGCTTCCAGAAGTTCTTCCCGATTCTGGCTCTCAGCATTTTGGTCCTGTACCAGGCAGGCAGCCTCCATGCAGTGCCATTCAGGTAAGACAGCCTGAGGACACAGCTCTACTCCCCTCCTGCTTCCCCTGGAATCAAACAAATCCTTGTTTTTTCTGATTGTGGTATATACTAAATGTTCCTCTCTGGGGAAAATATATATAAAAGTATGTACTCATATGTATGTATAAAGTAACATACAGCTTACTACTATTTAAAAATTATATGGTACACATTTTATATCAGAAAAAGTTTCTAATAAACGTATATGCATGTATACATACATACATACATGAATTTCCTCCAGAAAGCTGATTTTAAGTCATTTGGTCATTATTAAATGATCATTATTAACTAGCTGCATTAACACTTATTGCACAAAATTCCTGAAAATTTAACCATCACCTGTCTTAAACTTTTATGAACTGGCTCCAGTACACCACCGGCAGGAGGCCACACCAGTGCCTGCCTCCTGATGAAGACAGTGGCTTCAACCCTTGTTCATTGGGAGTTGGAGCAGCTGCATTCTTAGGGGAAGAATCAGAGAACAGGAAGCCTGGCTGCTTATCCCTGGGAGGAGACAGGCAGGGGTTGAGAACCTGCACTAGGTTTGCTTCCCCTCTGCAGTTCCACCTTGGAGAGCAGCCCAGACCTGACCACACTCAGTGAAGAGGAAGCACGCCTCCTGCTGGCTGCACTGGAGCAGGACTATTTGCAGATGAAGGCCAGTGAGCTGCAGGAGACAGAGGACTCCAGGTAAGCCTCCCCACTTGGCAAGAACAGGGCCTCTCTACCACCCCAGACATATCCAGGAAGGTGAATCCCAAGAGGTAGGAGAGAACATAATGGTCTAAATCCAGAAGTCTGTGTTCAGCAGCACCTGGGACTAGGACTAATCTGTTCTCAGGCTCAGCTAAAGATAGTGGTCAGCTGGAGAGACTGTGGTTATGTCATATTTAAAAGTTCCATTTCTGAAAGTAGAAAAGGTATGGAATCGCTTAGCTATATGAATTGATCTTGTGATCCTAGGAAGACCTTTCAGCATAGGATGAGTTAAGACTGGTAAGGATAAAGCCTGGAGCCAAGGATGGACCTGGTATATTTCAGGAGATTTTAGAAATTCAATTTGGCCTAGTTAATCTGCATATGATGTTCTTTCACACCCACCAGGAGCCTTCATTTTATATTTGCCAGGGGAAGGCAAAGCATTTGCAGGGGGTGGGGACAGATAGAGCAGTGTCTGAGGTAGGCCTAAGGCATCTGTGGAGATATGCATGTTGTCACAGGGCCAGGAAGAGCACCCTTTCCCAGCCCCAATTCCCTGTGCACCCTAAGCCTAGAAAAGAAATCGGCCCTTGCCTAGCCCCTTGCACTGACTGAGCAGAGGAATGTGTTGACCTGCATCCACCCTGATAATCCCCCTGTCAAGCATGAAGATCTGCACAGCATGTGGAATGCCAGAAAAAGTCACCCTTCCTTACCATTGCCCTGGCCCACTGCACCTCTGAGCCCTCCTAATAGAGGAATGAGCTGTCCTCCTCCTGCCTGCATCTCCTTCCTACCTCATGGTTCCCCTGTCTGGTCTAACCTTCTGTTGACTACCCACTGGGGCTGCCCCTGGTGCATGGTACTGTCTGGCATGTCTTTTCCCTGCAGCCTGGACAGCCCCAGATCTAAGCGGTGTGGTAATCTGAGTACCTGCATGCTGGGCACGTACACGCAGGACCTCAACAAGTTTCACACATTCCCCCAAACTGCAATTGGGGTTGGAGCACCTGGCAAGAAAAGGGATATGACCAGCGACTTGGAGACAGAGCACCGTCCTCATGTTGGCATGCCCCAGGATGCCATCTGAACTCCCCTTCTCCTTTATAACTTTCTTGCTTGCTTTATTCCTATAACTTGATGCATGTGGTTCTTCTCTGCTTGCTCTTCAGGCTGTTAGTGGTAGCTTTTCTATGGCAGAGGATGTCTGGAACCTCAGGTGGGCAGAGAGAAGGGAGAACTCACAATCTGGAAAAGAATCAACCAGGAAGATATCAGAGCAGGGGCAGTTCTCAGAGGGCCCTGGTGATTTCATAGCAAAGCTTTTCAGTCCTGCTTCTGAATGTGCGGATCATTTGGGAAATAAAAATATTTTTCTAAAAAGACTTGAGCTGTGGTGGTCGTTGCTCTAGCCTGCATCTCAGGTGCCATGGCGTTTAGGACCTGGGCTTAGAAGTAGTCTTAGCCCTGGGGTAACTGGACACAGGGTGTGGTGATTGGTTACTGTAACTCATCTCAAGCAGCAAAAACAAGGGCACTAAGGAGCAGGTAAGCACCTGAAGGACTGGATGCCACAACCTCTTCTCTTCTTCCAGGTAAGACCAGAGTATTTTCATTTTCTTAAGAAGGGATATTTTGTGCTGGTAACTGTGAAATGAATTCTACAGTCCTAGTGAATAGCCTTGGATATGACACTATAATTCACTCTAGTCTCATAAACCTTTGCTGATTTTTAGCTATTTGTACAGGAAAGATTGCCTGTTACAGCCCTGTGCTCCATGACCAGTCACCCTTAGTCACCTTCGGGTTTTCTGACACTCCTGGGAATGTCTAAGGGGAATGATCATGGCATTTTCCCTAATGGCATTGTGATTTTCTGCTCTGATAATTATGTTTAGGAGAAACACTTTAGGTTAATTGATGCATCTCAGAGCATCAACTTTCCTATGATGGTCCCATGGGGTGGGTTCCTCCCCCAGCCCTCACTCACAGGCCTTCTTTCCTTTCTCCATTCTGCAAACCAGTGTCACTGCCCAGAAGAGAGCCTGCAACACTGCCACTTGTGTGAGCCAGCGGCTGGCAGGATTGCTGAGCAGATCAGGGGGTATGGTAAAGAACAACTTTGTGCCCACTGATGTGGGTTCCAATGCCTTTGGCCGGCGCCGCAGAGACCTTCAGGATTGAGCAGTTTTGAATGGACCCAGAAAGAAGGTGACTACCTCATACTATCAGGTGGGAGGATGGATAACCATGTATTTCAAGGATGTACTCCATACTTCGAGGCTCCTTGGGCCCATATCACTGAAAAAAATCCACAAGGGAAGGTGCACACATCAGTGTCTGGAGAAAGAACACCAAGACCCAATAGCTGAAACACTACCAAGTCCATCTTTTGTTTTTCTATTCTTTCTTTGTGACACTGAGATCATTAGGCCAGGAATGCACATCATGCGTATATGCCATTAAAATTGTGATTACTCTAGCCTTTGAGTTTGAAAGGTAAAGACATTATCTTTTTGGAGCTTATACTAAAATGCCTTGTACTTCTAAATTAAGAGCTGAGTCTTGAGTTCAAAAACTGCTGCCCTCTATTAGCTATAGGACCATGAGCCAGTCACTGACTCTCTCTGAGCCTCAGAAAGAGTAAATTGAGGGTTTAATAGAACCTACCTGCTAATATTAATATAAAGAGCAGATGAAATAATAAATGTCAAGAGCCCGACAATTAATAACTAAACTCTAGGTATTTTTTTTTTATTTCTTGTAGGTCACAATGAAGCTAAACTCCACTTCTTTTAATGTGTAATGAAAGCAATGTATAAAAAAGTTGCCATGGAAGATATACATATTTGCATCCTTCTTGATATGGAAAACTACCTTCTTCATTTGAAAGAAACTAAAGCTGAGTGCAGAATAAGCTCATTGCAATTATCTATTGTACATCATTTTTATATTTGATTCTGTATCTAATAAACATGACAGCATGTCTCATTGGCTTATCTGATAGCAAATCTGGTCCTCATCAGCCATTCTGTTGATGTGGAAGCTCTGCTAAACCTCAGGGGGACATAAAATCACTGCCTCTTGGGCATTTGGGGACACCTGGTAATGTTATGCCTTGATGGAACTATTTGTTTAAAGAAATGTCAGTGTTGTCGTGAACTTCATCAAAATTTAAAAAAATGTATTTTCGATATCCTTAAATGAAATTTCTGCTGCTTTTTATGCTATTTTTTCCCAGGAAAGCTTCAGGGGCCTGTGAATACATTGTTGACCAGGCTGACTTCCTTGAAGCAAAGGCAACATACTTGGGTTGGCTTCTCAGTCATGTACCCTCAGTTTTGAGTGAAACATCCATTATTCAAATTATAACCCTGTGCATATCAAAGAGAACAGCCCCAGAGCTTATCCATGTACTTTCTCTTATCTCAAGGTTTCCCTGGACCCATCTTTGTCTTTCATTCTCAGAAGAGCCCCTCATGCACCACTTAGCCTGCAAAGCACTTTAGAAAGGATGGCTCCAAGTTCAAAATGGGGATCACAATGGCCCACCTAGAAAGATCACCAATGCCATTCAGTCCAGTTTTTTATTCTGTGAGGTACAGAAGAGTATCTTGCTTAAGGTCCTGTAATAAGTTTAACAGATACTTATTGTGCACCTGTCATATGCTAGCATTATTCTAGGCACTGGGAACTGAGCAATGAACAGATGAGACCAAACTCCTTGCTCTCATAGAGCTTACATTTTAGTTGGGGTAGATTAAGAGGATACATGCTGCAGAATCCTGGTCTCTCCATATGAGGAGGACTCTGGAATGTAATGGAGTCTCACGCCTTATTCAATGAAGTGAGTTCCCACTGTCAATATCCCTGGCATCTGGTATAATTCTAAGGTCACATGCTGGTTTCACTGGTAGACAGTCAGTTAATAGGGTTAGTTAGTTAGTCAGCCTCTTATACCACTGATTCTAATTATTTTCTCAGGATCACAGAGAATTATGTTCCTTGCGTGAACCCCTCCAGTCTGTATTCAACACGATAGCCCACATGTCTCTGTAAAAAACCCATCTTTCGTGGGTTCAAAACACTTCAGTAACTCCCCATCTCACTGAATAAACTCTCGAGGCATTGCAATGCCTCAATCAAAAGCTGACTTGATCTCTCCCCACTCACAATCCATGTTTGGCCTCATCTCCTATTCTCTCATGCACTGGCTTTCTTACTTTTCTTCAGCCTCAACCATGGCAAGTTTTTGCACTTCCAAGCACTGCTGTGTGGAACACTCTCATCTGATGGTCCTCATCTGCACCTGACCTTTACTCATATGTCACCTACCCTGGCCATCCTTTCTGAATGTACTACACCCATACAAGTACAACCTAACCCTCTTCTTTATTTTGTTCTTTTTACCATTTATTACCTTCTCCATACTGTAAATTTTCCCTATTTATTTTGTTAATTGTTTGTATCCTTTATCATAAATGTAAGTTTCACAATGAGCAGGGATGTGGCCATTTCATTAACTGATATACACAGAACAGTTTGCCTGGCACAAGTTAGCACTTGATAAGTATTTATTGAATGAATGAGTGAGTGAATGAATGAAATTAAATCTTCCCTTTTATGTTTGCAGTCAACTCTCAGGTTCTCTCTGGGCCTGATTTTCTTCAGTCTGAATTGCCCAATACCCTAAATCCCCAGTAGTCACTTGGAGAGTGAATCCCTCAACTCTCTGAAGGCTTCAATGGCTGCCACTCTGGCAATAATTCTGTTTCCTGCCACCAGGCCTTCACGCAGACTATTTCTTCATTTAGACATGTCTCTGACCCAACTCTTCCTTCTCTTGATTAATTATGACCAGGTTTTCTTTTTCTTTCCATGCAGCAAACATAAAGACAGGCAGAGAGATCTCTAGGTTTGATACCTACCCAAAATTCATATGAGCAAGAAAAATAAATATTTGTAAATATATTTAAGCCATTGACATTGAGATTGCTTTGGTGTAGTGTTGCCATGGCAATTGTTAAATAATTTATAAGATTTGAGGCAATTCTACACCAAATTCTCTCTGACTCAGGTTCATACATTGAAGGCCTAACACCCAATGTGATTGTATTTAGAGACAGAGCCTTTGAGGAGGTAATTAGGGTTAAATGAGGTAATAAAGGTAGGACCCTAACCTGACAGGACTGGTGTCCTCATAAGAAGAGAAAGCTCTCTGTCACTGTCCATGCATACAAAGAGAAGAGGCCAGGTGAGGACACAGTGAGAAGGCTGAACCTGCAAGCCAAGACATCAATTCAAATAGCACCTTGATTTTGGACTTCAGCCTCCAGAACTGTGAGAATATACATTTCTGTTCTAAGCTGGCTAGACTGTGGTATTCTGTTATGGCATCCTGAGCAGATCGATAGAAGGGGCATTACAGAATGGAATTATTTTTGCTACCATAGCTTGTTTTTCATCTTATTGAGATTTTGTCTCTAGATTAATTTGCTGAATGGCTAATTTGGCAAAATTTACTTGGTTCCTTTTACTAATTCATCTTAGTAACCATTTTCATTAAATCTTCTTAAAATCATCCCAAAGGATATTCACTTTATCTCTATTCCAGCCTCCTGCTACTGATACTGGAAAATATATACTTTAGACAAATTCATTATGGTTTATTCATATAATACACATATATAATACACTATACTGCATTAACATAAATGTGTATGTCAATTTGTATAAACCATACAATACTGAGTACAAAATAAAGTTAGTTGCAAAGGACACATACCAGGTTATACCATTTGTTTTGAGCTTGAAATATGCATAACAGCACTTTACATAATGGATAAATATACATGTGGTAAAAATAATCATGTCAGGTATAGGGGTGATACACATCACATTTAAAAGAGGGATTACCTTTGAGGAGATGGAAAGGAAATATCATGAAAAGAGATATACAGGTTGAGTTCTACCAAGGCTTTGTTTCCAAAACTTTTAATTTCTAAGCTGTGTAGTGTGTATATGGATATTCATTATATTTGTGACTAATAGGAATAAATAAACATAGGGATGGGGCTTGTTAAAATTAAGGCAATCACCACAAAAAATAAACAATAACAAATAACTTTTAAACTAGCCATATAATCTGTTCTCTTTAATGCAACAGAGGAACTAAAGAAATAGAAAATGTATAATAAATGGACCATGAGAAAAATAATGGCAGTAATATATTTCTGTATAGCTTTAAAATAACTAAATTAAAGTCATCAATTAAAAATCAAGATTATTGATTTTCAAAAGGATCCAGCAATGTTTCTTTTAGTTTTTGCTTTTTTATAACTTTATTTATTAATATTTTTATGTGGTGCTGAGGATCAAATCCAGTGCCTCACACATGCTAGGCAACCACTGAACTACAACCCCAGCCCCATGGTTTTTTTAAAAGAAACTTTTAGAAAAAAAGGATTCAGAATTGGTTAATATAAAAGGATAGTAAAGGATATATGAAACAAATACAAACAAGAATAATTTGAGACAACTTCTTAGTAGGTAAAAAAAAAAATTCAAGGCAAAATGCCCTATGGAAAAAGGATGGGTATCACATACCAGAAAAAAGAATAGAACTAAAGGTATATTTATCATGAACACATACACACCAACAATATGACCTCAAATTATGCAAAAAAGCAACTGAAGAATTGTTCTTAGAGAATGAATGTGCCCTTCTCAAAAAGCCATATACTTCTAGAATAATCATGCCAGTGCTCCACTTCAGCTGTTTGGGATCCTTCCACAAATCCAATCCCCTATCAAAATGTCATGGTAAGAAGAAATTCCAATTCTAGGCTATTTGTGCTAGGATGGAATTGTTTTATGAGAGTTTAGTTTAAAACTCCAATTTATAGTTTCCATTTATTTCTTTTGTATCTTAATACCTATTTTCCTTTTTTTATGACATTAGAGAAAGATCAAAATCTTTGATTTTAAGAATTAGTGCAATAAAATCTTCATTCATCTTATTTTTTCTAGTCTATAACAATAAAGGAATTAAATTTGCTAGAATAATAAAAGGACTGGGGATGTGGCTCAGTGTGTTAAGCACCTCTGGATCCCCAGTACCAAAAAAAAAAAGAAAGAGGGAAAGGAAGAAAGAAAGAAAGGGAACATTTTATTCTCTTTTATGTACTAAGAGTTTTTAAAGATAAACAGATATTAAATTTCTCAAAATACCTTTCAATATCTAATAAGATGATCTTCTGGCTTTTCTCCTTTGACTTATTAATACAAGTAATACATTCTTAAATGTAGAAACCAGTAATAACAGCTAAGATTTTTGAGTTCTTACTACATGTAAGGAGCTATTCATAAATGTTTTAAGATATTAACTCATAATCTTTACAACTTTTAAAAGTAGGCACTAGTATTAGCCCCATTTTATGGACTAGGAAACTGAAACAAAACTGTTAAGTGGGCTGTCTGTACAGATATTAGATTTATATCAAGATGGAAATCTGATCTTAGGCTATCCAAATCTACAGTCTGATCTTTTAAACCTTTATACTACTGCTTGATAAACTATACTTGGTCAGATAATAGGTATAAAAATATACTACTAAATTCAATTTGTTTGTTATTTATGTAAGATTTTGTACTATTTCTGTTGGGTGTAGAATTGGAGCTATGTTAATGTTAAGAAACGAGCTGAGAAACTTTTGAAATTTTTCTGTTTTAGAATAGTGTAGATACATGGAAACTAGCTAAGTCTTAAGATTAAAATCACCTGTAAAACTTTCTGGCAGAGTGTCTGTTATTTTTTTATTGATTTTTAAAAAATAAACAAGAGCAGGATGCATTACAATTCTTATTACACGTATACAACACAATTTTTCATATCTCTGGATGCATGTAAAGTATGTAGACATCAATTCCTGTCTTCATACATGTATTTTGGATAATGATGTCTATCACATTCCACAATCCTTGCTAATCCCCTGCCCACTCCCTTCCCTCCCACCCCTCTGCCCTGCCTAAAATTCATCTATTCTTCCCATGCTCCCCCTCCCTACTCCATTATGAGTCAGCCTCCTTATATCAGAGAAAACATTCGTCATTTGTTTTGGGGGATTGGCTAACTTCACTTAGCATTATTTTCTCCAACACCATCCATTTACCTGCAAATGCCATGATTTTATTCTTTTATTGCTGAGTAAAATTCCATTGTGTATATTTGCCACATTTTTTTTTATCCATTCATCCACTGAAGGGCATCTAGGTTGGCTCCACAGTTTAGCTATTGTGAATTGTGCTGCTATAAACATTGATGTGGCCGTGTCTCTGTAGTATGCTGTGTTTAAGTCCTTTGGGTACAGAAAGAGGAGAGGGATAGCT